ACTATTATAGTATTATACTAAATATTAAATATTAAAATTATTATACTATTATAGTATTATATTAAATATTAAAATTATTATACTATTATGGTATTATATTAAATATTAAATATTAAAATTATTGTACTATTATAGTATTATATTAAATATTAAATATTAAAATTATTATACTATTATGGTATTATATTAAATATTAAATATTAAAATTATTATACTATTATAGTATTATATTAAATATTAAATATTGAAATATCTACGAAGCGTGAAACTGCGACGATCTCCAAGTTAAATTTGGGACACGAATTGTCGAGATTTCAATAAATAAATAATTAAATAAATATATATATAATATAAATATAAATATATATAAATTATATATGTGTGTGTGTGTGTGTGTGTGTGTGTATTCTACGCGCGAGTAAACAGAAGGAAGAGCTCGAGGGGCTATGTAGGTCGCGCGCGATTAAAAGAGCTGGACGTGCATACGTCACGGCGTACGCTGACGTACGCCGAGGGGGATGGAGAAAACAAGTCGCCTGCATGCCCGCTGCAGTGACGAAACGGCGCAACGGTGGAAGATTGCTCAGCTTTTCGTTCAGCTTTTCTCCTTCGTGTATAACGATTCTCCTTGCGTAATGACCGGTCGTCCAGTGAAATTTTAATAAGCGTCGCACACACTTTGCTCGACGGGGCTTTTCTCCTCCCTCTGGCGAACTTCCTTTCTACCGTGAGACGCACATCTCGGAACGCTTTCACTCGGGGGGTTGAAACAGCTACGCGCCTCTCTCCACTTCGCTTCTCGTTGTTTTATCTCGGGAAATGTTGGCAGGCAACATTCGAGGCGTTCGATGGTCGTCGAACCGATTGGTTTCGAAAATTGAAACTTCCGGGAGATCTCCGCGCTCTTGTTTGCCTACGAAGCTTCTACTCCTTCACGATCATCTTTACTTTAACACTGGAATTATCAAAGTGAAACGGTCGAAACGAAACATTTGAATATCTTTGTTAGATGTCTCATGTTGGGGTTGGTCGGGAGATAGCTGCTCTTCTCAATTTCCTCGATTTCAAATACATGTGGCTCAGCTTTCGAGGCACCTTATTAATCAAAGTGAAATAACCATTTGCTTCGATACACTTTTGCCAACGAGTTACAGGCTTGTTTAACCCAGTAACATAGAAATTCCGGAATCGATGAAACTTTGGACAGCGTTTTTCTGCGTCAGCTTGGTTTTTAAAGAATTTATTCTCCAAGAAATTGTCGAAATTAAAAAAATTGAAAATCTGGCGAGTATAGCGGACGAGGTGAAGTTTCGTATCCCAATTTGTTCGATTGATAATTTTTGGATATTTTATATAATAATATAACATATATAATATAATATAATATAATAATATAACATATATAATATAATATAATATAATACAATATATAACAATATAATATAATATAATATAATATAATATAATATAATATAATATAATATAATACAATATAATACAATATAATACAATATAATACAATATAATACAATACAATATAATATAATATAATATAATATAAATATATAACATATATAATTAATATACAAATGGATAGTTACAATAATATTTGGCAATTTTTTAAATATTCCATAAAACCACTGTATTTTTGAAGACACCGAATGATTCTTCATAAACGAAAGCTTGCGTATCCTATATTGTATTATAAAGATCTTCCGTTTCTCTCTTCGCTTCGACGTCTCTGCCGGAAATTTTATCGTTCTAGTGTTAATAATCGTCAGACGTTGGCTGGCGACAATTTCATCGAGACTTCACGCACGCGTGCGCGTTGCCAATTGGCTCATCGGTTCGTTCTCTTTAAAAAGACGTTGGTTTCCCGCCAGCTCGTTCTACCCTTTGCGTTCGGAATGAAAAGGATAAAAAAGAAAGAAGAGTCGACGGGGATGAAGATTTACAGGGGCAAAGTTTATGAAAAAAAAAAAAAAAAAAAGAAAAAGAAGAAAAACACGCTTCGCGTTCGAAGAATGACACATGGACGCGTCGCGTAATAATTCATCGCCTCTCCGCCGCTCCGTATTTCCCTTTTTGTTTTTTTTTTCTTTCTTTCTTTCTCGCGCGAACGCCACTCACTCGAGTTTGTAAATTTTTCGCGCCGTAGCCATGCTGGTGAGAACGTGCTCGAACGAAGATTAACAGCGGGTAGAAGACGGATGCACGTTTTATGAAATTGTACACGAGCCGAAAAATATCTATTCGGTGTCTAAGAATAGAAACGAGCGCGGCCGAGCATTTGCTCGCTCGTCACGCGATCGTTCCCAGTGACTTATCGTTTTCTATTTCTTCGAGGAGGGCGATACGAGCCACAAAAGACAAGAAACCAAAGGGGGAGAAAAAGCGAGGGAATGAAACGAAAGGATCTGGGTCTGTCAAAGGGTTAAAAATCAACTTCACCCATTATCCCAAGTGGTGGACGACCATTTGGCGCCGGGATTTTTTCGAATTTTCTCATCCAGCGAGATCTCGCTCCTGTTCCTGTTCTCGCCGTGGAAACACGCTTTTTCCCCCTCCGCCCTTCCTCGTTCGATCCGTCTTGCC